AACATGAGAAATCGGCCTCCAAGGAAGTCTTTTACTGTGGGAGATCACAAGCTGGCCAGACATTCCTGGTGTTGGGCCATGGATGGGAGGATTTGGGGTAGACAGCTGGGCTTGTGGGTAGACCAGAGCAGTCCCCCGAGTCTATGCTAGCCAGAACACTGCTTGCTCATGCCTCGGCCGGGCACGTCTGGGCCTCTCAGTGGCCATCACCGAGGCTGTCAGGCTGCTAGACTGCTGAGCCCAAGGCCCAGAGCAGAACTAACCCCTGGCTTCCCAGAGCCCCTGCCGTCCTTGGCTGCCCTCAGGGGCTGGGCCAGGGCTGGGTGGCCAGGTCTCCCACGAAGCTCTCAACAAGTTCCAGGCCTCTCCTTCTGTGCTTAGATCCTGCTCCCAGTCACGTCCCCTCCCAGTCACATCCCCTCCTCCGCATCCCTCAGAGAGAGCAGGAAGCTGGGGAGGAGGGAGCATCCCAACCAGCCTTCTCCTAGCCCTGACCGGTACCGTCTTAGGGCTTGGGGCTGCCAGCCACTGGGTCTGGGAGCCAGGTTTCTCCAACAGGGTCGGAGCTGGTTTAGAAGCCCTGTGTGGTCTCCTCATGGGTGAGCTGAGGGTTCAGTAGGCCTCCTCCTCTAAGTCGCCTTCTTGGCTGACAGGCTGTCCCCCTTCCCTGGGTCACAGGGAGATGTGGGGTTTGGCCAGGGAAAGTGGTCTGGAACGGCCCTTTGACATCATCCCTGGGGGCTTTTAAAAAATAAGTTTCCTGGTAGGGAAGACTCTTCAGGCCTTGGGCAGGATTCTCAGTAGAGTCTCCCGGGTTTGCTCTGATCTGACAAACGCCAGCAGAAACCACCCGGCCGCCTGCGTTCCAGCAGTGCTTGGAGCCGTGGCTTCCCCAGATGCAGCGTCAGCAGAATGCAGCAGCCAAGGCACAGGGGTGTTTGCTTGGAGGCCCGTGCTGAGTCCAGGAGTGGGGGGCCTGCAGAAGAGAGCCTGCTGCTTGGCTTTGCCCCCTCATTCATGTGCACACATTCCTGGCTTCTCTAGGAATGGATGGTGCCACAAGGGATGCCAGAGAGACTTGTCCCTGAGTGATGACAGTCCAGTGACAGTGCTGACGGTCCGTGCCTGTCAGGTGAGCAGTGAGTGTCCAGGCTGCCTCCGAGGAGGGGAAGAAGGCATGCCCTGTCTTCTCCCACCCCTCTGCCACCACCTGCCAGGTCATCTGGGACTGAAATCCATCTGGACAGCTGAGTCCATATCTGAAAAGCCTGTCCTGGGTCAAGGACTGGGGAAGAGAGCAGTAAAGGAGGTGCAGAGTGGGGAGGAGAGGAGGAGACCAGATCTGGGGACAGACAGAATCCCTCAGGCCTGCTGCACCTCCCAGCCCCTCTACGCCCCAGCTTTGGGACTCTGGACAGGTTTCATGTTCTGTCTGATTTCTGTTCCTGAGGCTGAAATGGGCATGGCTGAGAGGTCCGGCACACAGGTTGCTCCTGGCATGGGGCTGAGTACACTGTACAGCCCATGTGTTTCCAGTTAGAGTGGATCTGGGTTGCCCGCTTCATGTTGGGATGAGGGGACTACCCCCGACCAGTGCCAGGTGTTGGATAGAGAGTCATGGAGGCCTGGGGAGGGGAAAGGTGCTTGGCAGTGGGGAAGTTGCTGAGCTAGGGAGAGAAGCCATGTGGAGCAAAGTGGGAGGCTGGAGCAGAGGAAGTTTCACGCTGCTTGAGAGCTCATGAGGATCCTGAGTGGGAGGTGACAGCTCACTTGGGGAAGCCTCCCAGCAGCCTGTGCCAGGGCCTGGAAGAGCAGTGTGTACACAGATGCCCGGGTGAGGCCCAGCCCCTGGTGCTTTGGAGGGGAGGGATCAGGAGGCCAGACTGGGGTCCAGACTCCCAGTCTCGGGAATAGTAGAGTCACTGGCAGGAGTGCCACCACCCAAAGGACTGAGTTTTTCCCTGGAGCTCACCCTGTACATCTGGCCTGGCCTCTAGGCCCAGGCTATAGCTGAAAAGGAAGAAGTCTCCTGGCCTGAGAAGGGCTCCTGGCTGGCTGCAGTGGCTGTGTGAATAAGCAGACAGGTTTGGTCTGGCAACTGCCTCACCAGTGCCTGGGTCTGACCCAGAGAACTGTATTCCAGTCCTGGCTCCCAGCTGCCATCCACTTTGCAGCTTCCCCTAGTGGAGATTTCAGCACTTGCTGGGCCTGGGCCAGAACCCCAAGTATATAAAATCAGAGCATGAACATGACTTTGATAAATTAAGAAGGCTTCATTTTAATACCACAGTAAAAGGAACCAGTTAATATTCTCACCATTTCACATCCACAAAAACCACATCAGGGGCATTAACAATCTTTCAGTTTTGTACAAATAAACCATGTTTCTTTTAAAAAGACTTGCACACATGGCTCATGCCTGTAATCCTAGCACTTTGGGAGGCTGAGGTGGGCGGATCACGAGGTCAGGAGTTCGAGACCAGCCTGGCCAACATAGTGAAACCCTGTCTCTACTAAAAATAAAAAAAAAATTAGCCAGACATGGTGGCATGCGCCTGTAGTCCCAGCTACTCAGGAGGCTGAGGCAGGAGAATCGTTCAAACCCAAGAGGCAGAGGTTGTAGTGAGCCGAGATTTTGTCACTGCACTCCAGCCTAGGCAACAGAGCGAGATTCTGTCTCAAAAAAAACAAAAACAAAAACAAAAAACAAAAAACAAAACCAAAAAAGGCTTGCACACTTGCCCAAGCTCAAGGATATTAAAATCTAGCACATGAAACCCACTTCTAGAGGTAGAAATACAGGCAATATATTATTTCAGCAATGACCATCAATTACAGTTAAGAACAGTTAACAACCAAATGGGGAATGAAATACTACAACCACCCAAGTTTACTGAGCAAAGCACGTTTTCTCACCCATGCCTTACTCTAGGAGTAGCTGGGACTTGGTTAGATGTGGTAAGGATGTAGGAGAAGAGATCCCAGGGCAAGGGCTCATTGCAGACAGCCTGGAGTAAGGATGTAGGAGAGTGCACATCTCCCAGGCAAAAAGGCATTGGGGTCCACAGAGCAGAACAGGGGCTAGTGGCTTCTGCCTGCCCTGCCTGGCTCTCTTATGCCCTTTTGGGTGGCCATGGGAGGAAAATAGTAGTCAATTGCAGAGTGACGGTGAAGGTAGCAGGTGGTGTCTCCTGCAGGCCTCTGGAGGTTGAAGTTCACTCCATGAGTACCCAGGAGCCACAGAGGTCATGAGTGCAGCCTGCCACCAGGCCCCTGGAGATACAGGTGGAAGGCATCCATTCCAGAGACCTGTGCATACCCCTGCCTTCAACATGCTGTCTTCCATCTCTCTTTTAGCATGCCTGACTCCAGGTTGGGGCTGTCTTCTCCTGATGGAGTACAGCAGGAGGGACATCACCGGGGTCCCCTAAGCCTGTAGAGGGTTATATGCCTCACTTCCCTCCCTCTCTAAACAACCCAGGATAGCATGGTCTCCTGAGCCTCAAAGACACCTGGGGAGGCCGTGGCCAGGACAGCGTGTGGAGGTGGTCCCAAGTGCAGCTCCGCCTTTGATCCCCTGGGCAGCCTCCCCAGGGGACGGAGAGGCATGTAGTCTTCCAAGCCAGCCTCCGCCAACATGTGCCTGGGTCTCTTCTCAGCCACTGCCCTTGGTACTGTCCCAAGGGAGCTTCTGTGTCCTGTATCGGGTGGGATAAGTACTGCTGAGAAGAATAACACAAGTGAAGGGACAGTGATGGGCTGGTGGAGAAGCCTCTGAAGAGGGGGTGTGTGAGGAAAGATCTGAAGGAAGGGAGGGAGACAGCTCCATTTTTAGGCCAGGGGACAGGGAAGGGCCCTGAGGTGGGGACATGGCTGTGGATAGTGAGCATGGGGGAACCGCAGGACCTAAGTCAGAGAGGTAGAGCGGGGATGGTGGGACCACCACATGAAGGCTCTGGAAGGGACTCCCTTTCTGAGTGAAGTAGGAGTAGGGGAGAGTTTAAAGCCAATGAATGGCATGGTCTGCCTTGTGTTTTAAAAAGATCACTCTAGCTAGCACATGCCTATAGTCCCAGCTACTTGGGAGGCTGAGGCCAGAGGACCGCTTGAGCCTAGGAGTTCAAGTTCAGCCTGGGAACATAGGAAGATGCCATCTCTAAACAAAAACAAAAACAAAACAGAACACTGTGGGAGACTGTTGTTAGGTTCTCATCAGGATCCCACTGCCTCTTCCCTGGCCTGCTTCCCCCGGGCCCTTCTGCTGTCTCTCCTTCCTTTTCCCTCAGGCCATCTCCGAATGCTCAGGAGAGCCCTCAGGATTGGTCTACCTGCCTCCGGCCACTCTGAAGGGATGCTTAGTCTTTCCTGTCAGCCTCACCTCCCCTGCGTGCCACTCATTTGCCCTGAAGGCCACTTGTCACTCACACCCTCCTCCTGGCTGTTTCCTTTATACTTTCTTGCCCCTGCCCTTTGCTGTGGCCCAGCCTTTTGTGGCCTTCTCATCTTCTCAGTCTGATCTTTGGTGCCCTCTCCACTCCACTCCACAGCTTTAGGCATCTTCTGTATTTCATGTGCCTCATGTCTGCCTCGGGGTATGTTGGCTTGCCCCTCTGACCCTGAGGCCCTGGAGTGCAGGACTCAGGACTTAGCTGCTCTAGGTTAGGGCCAGCCTACAGCTTAGCATACAGAAAGGCCTCAAAGACTGGGTTGTGGATTGGAGTTTCCCAGGCTTTCTGATCATGTTGGGGAGGAACTATTCCTCTTATGCTTGAACTTTGGGGCCCCATGTCCTGGATTGTGTCCCAAAGATCTGGTGCATCTCCAGGGCCTTAGCTGATTGCCCTGTGGTAGGCCCTGAGCCAACAGGGAGATGGAGGTCAGGGTAGTAGTGGGACACAACTGCAGGGGAGAACTGGGGCTGATCGGGGTGGGAATGGGGACTTGGGACCCTTGGGGAGGCCCAGCAAGGCTAGCCCTCACCCCCTACCCTTGGGTTTCAGACTTGAAACTGCATCTGCAGAGCACTGATTATGGTAACTTCCTGGCCAACGAGGCATCACCTCTGACGGTGTCAGTCATCGATGACCGGCTCAAGGAGAAGATGGTGGTGGAGTTCCGCCACATGAGGAACCACGCCTATGAGCCACTCGCCAGCTTCCTAGACTTCATTACGTGAGTGTGCCTTGTGGCGCCTTCTCCTCTTACCTGGGCAGGATAGTTACACCTGCAGGAGCTGGCCCCAGTGTGGCTTAAGCCAGCTGCCTTCGTGCCTACGTCAGCTGTCAGAGCTAAGGACAGCTCTGTCAGGCCAGCTGTCACGGGGCCCTGCTTTCAGAGTCCTCCCTGATTGTGTGCGTGATCATTCAACAACGCTGGACCTCCAGGCCACCACCTATAAAGTGGGGCCACCAGCATGTTCACTACTGGCTGAAGATATGGTGGGCAGGCAAGAGTGTCCCACGCAGTAGTGCTGGATGAAGCCTCTTCCCCCAATCACATAGACTAGGGTAGGGAAACCTGGGAAGGTGGGAGCCCTTTTTCTTACCCTACAGCACCCAAACAAAACACTCACCAGGCCCCACTCCCTATGCCAGGGGTCAGGTGTCAGGCGATGGACAGAGCTCCGAAAGGCCAAGGTCTTAGGCCCATTCTCTGTCTGCTCTGACCATGGCCCTGGGTCTCAGGGAGATTGGGTCAGAGTACAGTTGAGGAGCAGGCTGAACGTCTAGCTGCCTTTCTCAGTTCTGACACAAGCCTTCAGGAACTCAGGTAGGCAGGCCCCCATTCATATGACCCTTGGCTGCCCCAGCTTCTTCATTGTCTGACGCTTGGGCACAGCTCTGCCTTCATCAAGCTCCTGGAGAAACTGAGTGGAGGAAAGGACCTTGGGATCTGCAGGCTTGGGGAGGGCACCTGGACTGGGCAGTCTCTGCTGGCCATGTATGTCTGTGGACATAGGAAAGTAGAGAGGGTCCCTTTGCAGGGATGTCCCAAGAGCCATGAGCCAGGTCCTGGTGGACAAAGAAATAGCCCCAGTCTAGGTGGCTGCCCCATAGGGGTGGTGAGCAGAGGCATGCTCGGCAGCTAGCGTCTAGGAGAGTACCCTGCATTGGCAGAATGTGAGTGTGCAGTATGTGAAGCATTTCCCTGAACTCTCTGAGTATTGTCTAGCTTTTACCATTCCCTGATTATGGTGCCTCCACTGTCCTCCTTGGGACCTGGCACACCTGCCCCACTTGTCCCTGCAGAGACAGAGTTAGATGCCTGCTGCCTGGCCTGATTCTTATCCCCTGCAGTTAGGAGCCACTTGCCCAGGATCCACTTGCTCAAGGAAGTGCTGCAGCCAAAGGGCTCCATTCTCAGGCAGGAGTCACAGGCTGGGACACCTGAAGGGCCAGGGAACATGCCCAAGCTAGGAAGCAGGCCCTCTCCTGGCCACAGACCTCCTTCCCTGAGAGTCTCCTTGCTGCCCTGGCCTCCATCAAAGTATGCCAACATGGACCTACTGGGGCAGGAGGCTGGTAATGGGGTGTCTCTTGTGGTGCCACATTAGGGGTCACATTGCAGCTCCCCATCTGTTGATCATTCCCTGGCCTGGGTCTCTGTGTTCCTTGCTGCAAAGCCAGAGCTGAGGACATACCAGGAAGCAGTACATTTATTGCCAGAGCCCAGCCTGAGACTTGTTTGCACAAGGCTGCTTTAGCTTCCTGGTGAATGTTCTGGCTTTGCCAGCTAGGCTGGCCGGAGGAGGCCTGACCCCATGTCCATGGTCAGAGGGTAGATATCACCCATCCCACTGCCCACCGGCCCACCTGCCTGTGCAGCTAGCCTTTGGCCTGTCTTGGTCTTAGCCTGCCAGGCCGTGAAACTGGAGAGGGGTCTGAGCGTGACTGAGGCCGCACAACTGCCAGCTCTTTGCTAGAGGTTGGCTGCAAGCACCAAGAGTGCTTAAAGCAGCCAAGTTCTGTCCTGTGGTAGGCTCTCCGAATCTGCTGCTTCCCATCCCTTCCATTCATGGGTGATTGTGGCTTACAGTCCTACCAGCCACTCACTCCTGCCCTCACTCAGGAGCTCAGCAGTCACGTGTCAGCCCATCAGGTCCTGTGTCTGCTTGGTCCATGACCTAGTCATCTCCAATGACCTGCACCTTTCCTCCTCTGCTCTGCACTTCAGCCACCCCCACTGATGGCTGCCCAGGCCCATGTCACCACCTGGAACTGCTCCACCCCTGAAATTGCTGAATCAGGCACCCTCTCTACCCACAGCCTTCTGGCCCTCCAGCCCACTCTCAGTCCCTTGTGGGACACGGGTTCCGGACTCAGCGGGACACTAGGCCTTGCTTCCTCCCCTGCTACCCCTTCTGTCTTCATTTCCCGCCCTCCCCAGCTGAGGTTCCCTGGTCCATCATTCGAGCACTTTTCTGCCAACATCCGCAGCTCTCTTGGCCGCCCAACTCATGGTCCCACCCGGCTGGCAGCCCCCCAGCCCTGGAGGAATCCCAGCAGCCTCCAGTCTGGAGCCGCCCTCCCCCTACCTCCACTGCGGGGAGGAAAGCTGGGGAAGCCAGCCTTGGGGAAGGGGGGGTCATCCTTGCTGCCAGGCATGCATACTCACCCTCTTAGCCAGCCTCAGCTTGTTTCTGCCTGGCAGACTCTGGCTTTACCTACTCAGCACCCTGCAGACCCCACCAGCACTGCAAAGACCACCTTCCCATCTTATACTATTGCTCTCCTGCCCCTAGCCTCCTCTTGGGCAGATGGCCCACCTTCTTCACAAAGACAGTAGAAACCCGTATACCTCCCAGTGCTGCTTCTGTCCCCCACCCCCTGAAGCCCATTCCAATGGCAGAAGCGCCCTTCCTTTTCTCTTGGATCCTTCCACCAATGTTCTGAGTGCCCTCACCTTACTCCCTGGATGCTGAGTGGCCACTCATCTGCATTCCTGTCCGTGCAGGCACCTTCCTTTCCAAATTCTTCTCTTCAGTATCTAAGCAAGCTCAAATAGTTAAAAACCATCTCAGGGGACCTAAACTTTTACATTCACTGTCTGTTCTCTCATTTTCCCTCATCCCTTGAGCTTTCAACAGTCCCATCACTCCACCACAAGGCCTTGGCTAAAGCCACCCCTGACCCACACCTTCACTCCAGGTGTGACCACTCTGCAGTGTCCAGCCCCCAGTCACCTAGCTATTTCTTTGCTCCCATGATGCCTCTCTGACTTAACTCCTACCTCTCTGGCCACTCTCCCTTCTCCACTCTGTCCCAGCAGGTCATCCCCAGTGTGTGTGTGGAGTGCTGCAGGAAGGGGTGAAGTCTTCCATAGAGGCCTGAGCTCCCCCAGGCTGGGGCTCACGATTGGCTTCCCTGAGGAGGTGGCTAGTGTGGCTGAGGGGAAAAGCATTTAAAGGAAGCATTGGAATAGGGGGTTTTTAGGTTGAGGGAACTATACATGTCCTGAGTAGCGAGCATGGTGCACCTGGCTCTGTGCCCCACACAACAGCCTCCAGGTGTGGTGCCCACTCTGGGAAGGAGGAAGCTACCCTAGAAAACCCAGAGGAATGTAGCCAGAGAGGAGAGTACAGTCCTCCAGGTAGTAGAAGCATCAGTGAGAGGCCCCGTCCTGGGTGTGAAGACCTGAGAGAACAGTGCCCTGACTGCCCACAAAGTTGGCCCAGCTGGGGACAGAGGTCGGGACCATCACAGAGTTCACCTTAGCTCCATCCCTCAGGGCCTCGTAGTTGCTTCTGGAGCTGCCCCAGGCTGGCTGGAGCAGGCTTCTGCCAGGAGGTGATGAAAGCGGGAGCTGGCTGAGGCTGCCTCTGTCCTTCCGTGTGAGACAGTGTCCACTGCTTTTGTAGGTCCTGGCCAGCCTTCAGCTGCACATATAACCAGTACCTGGTCTGGGTCAGGCCTGGGGCTGAGAGGGAGATGCCTGGATGCAGTGGGGTGGTACCAGTGATAGTATAGACAGTGCCTGGAGAGGACTGTGAGCAGCTTTAGCAAATGGAACTGGGGTTCACAGGTGGCTTCACAGCGTTGGGAGGATTCCAGGATCAGGTGAGGATAGGCCACTGGAGAGAGTAGGTGGCTGGAAAAGAGGCAGCTGTCTGGCATGGGGCCGACAGCCTGATTGAGATAGGGTCCCTAAAGTAGACTGTCGTCATGTGCTCTTGAGAGGATCTGGCTCAGTTTCATGCCACTAACATGTTGTTATGTCACTGTGCCCAAGCCCAGTCATTACCTTGCTGTGAGACTTGGGATAGTGTCTGTCAGGATTTTTTGACCTTGGAGGGGACTTTGATCTGGGCCATTCCATGATGTTTTCCCTTGAGAGAGTCGGTCCTGGAAGAGAAGCTGAGAGACTTGTGGGAGGAGTGAGTGTGGCCTCTGGGGAGTCCCAGGTGGGCTTTAAAGGCCTTTGTCTTTGAATGAGTGAGCCTCCCTGGAGGGGGCCTAGCCCAGGTGCCCATTGGCAGAGCCTGGGCATGGGTAACCTGAACCACCTGGGGGATCTGAGAGCCCATATTTCTCTTGTGTCAGGGGCCTCAGTGCCACCAGCCTGGAATGGGCAACTGGAAAGAGGCTTTGTCCCAGGACAGTGGCCTCAAATGCCTAATGAGCCTGTCAGCACATCTGTGATTTTCTCCAGGACCTGTCACCCCAACCTTGGGGCCCTGCTTGGTCACAGAGGGGCATCAGGTTCCTCTGGCCCCCACTCCCCTGGCCAGTTCCTGTCTTTGCTATCTACAGTCACTGTTTCTGGGTCCGTGGCAGGACTCTGCAGTTGGGGGCTGTAGGCCTGCTGTGGTTTCAGGGTCCTGGGCTAGACCTGGCTCCTGCCTTGAAGAAGTGCCAGCACTGCCACTCTTTTCCTGGGCCTGGGGTCAAGCATGCAGGAGCTCTGTGAGGCCCAGAAGGCTCAGACCAGGTGGAAGGACCCAACTGTGCCTCGGGGAGAGGCAGGACTTTTATGAGCAGGTTAGAGCTCATTATCTCTGTTGGAGCCACACCTCACTCATTCTCTTTTTTTTTTTGAGATGGAGTTTCACTCTGTCACACAGGCTGGAGTGTAGTGGCACATTCTCGGCTCACTGTGAGCTCCGCTTCCCAGGTTCAAGTGAGTCTCCTGCCTCAGCCTCCAGAGCAGCTGGGATTACAGGCGCGTGCCACCACACCTGGCTAATTTTTGTATTTTTAGTAGAGACGGGGTTTCGCCTTGTTTGCCAGGGTGGTCCCAAACTCCTGACCTCAAGTGATCCACCTGCCTCGGCCTCCCAAAGTGCTGGGATAACAGACGTGAGCCACCGCACCCGCCCTCATCTTCTATTTATTTTATTTTTTGAGGTAGGATCTTGCTTGTTGCCCAGGCTGGAGTGCAGTGGCATGATCATAGCTCACTGCAGCCTTGATCTCCTGGGCTCAAGTGATCCTCCTGCCTCAGCCTTCCAAGTATCTGGGATTACAAGTGCATGCCACCACACGTGGCTAATTTTTTTGATTTTTTAATAAAAATGAGGTCTTGCTATGTTGCCCAGGCTGTCCTCAAACTCCTGAGCTAAGAGATCCTCCCACCTCTGCCTTTCAAAGTGCTGGGATTACTGGTGTGAGCCACTATGGCTGGCCCTCACTTATCTTGATATGGAAGAGAAATTAAGTCTTGAGAGGTGGTATGCTGAGGGCATGAACAGGGCTGAGAAACAGTGATATTTCTGTTCACTTTCCACCCTGCACAGGGCTCTTTAGGACCCAGATGTGACTGAGTACAGATACTGTCACTAGCAGCTCACCCGAGCCCCTGCTGGGGACTGCAGTGGACAGGCTGGCAGGGGTACCCAGGCATCATGGCTGCCTCACCAGCACCAGACCAGCCCCCCAGGGTTGAGAAGCCATATTGTTCCAGCAGGTGGCACCAAAGGGCACAGCAGAGGGGCAGGGTTGGTTGGCTAGGGACTCTGAAGGCTTCTTGGAGGAAGTGGCTTCCTCAACTCCAAACTAAGAGGTCTGTGGACCCAAACTGAGTTTTGAAGGCACAGGGCAAGGGAGGGCCTCTGGGCAGAGGAATACAGATGGCCCCACCCCCACCCCACAAGGGCCTCTTTGGCCTGGCGGGCAGCCGGCCCTCCACTCCCCAGCTGTCTTCCCCTGGAGGGAGACACTGACCAGCTGGAACCTTATTCCCTCCTATTGAGGCCAAATGAGGGGAGGAATGGTGGAGTGGCTTTCTGGGGGCAGGGAGGCAGCTGCTTAGGCCAGGCAAGGAGGAAGAGGATTTCCCTGTCTGCCGAAGGCCTCAGCCTTGGGAGAAAGGCAGACTGCTGGGCCAGCCTCATCTCTGCCAGGCCTGTCCTGCCTCTCATCTCCTGAAAAAGAGGATTCTGCCCCTCACTGGGCAAGAGAGAAAAACAGGGCTGCAGCAGCAACAAGCTTATAGCCAGCCCGGGAAGGAAAGTGCTGGGCCTGGCACAGGATCACCCACGATTGGCCTGGCTTGGGTTTGAAGAGGGCCTTGAAGGGGCTGGGGTGGTGTGATTGTGAGTGGCCTTTACTAGGCTCAGCATTTCCCCCACATAAACAGATGCCCTGAGCGGGGGACACAAGGAGTGGGAGGTTGAAAAAGAGGAAACTGGCTGGTGGGGATCCCTCTGAGAAAATGAGACTAGGTGGGGTGTGTAGAGCCAGGCAGGGGGCCCTGGCCATGGGTGGAGGTGTGTGGACACTGGCCATGGGGACAGGGAGCTCCTCTGCTTTGTGGTGTGATAGGGCCTGGTGCTGGCCTTCTCTGGGCCTTATCTGCTCTGACAGTGGGGCTGGTAATGCTAGTGGTTGTGGGATCACTTGGATAAGATGGGCCTTGGGTATGTTTTTCTCCTTCTTCCCGTCCAAAAGGGAGTGAGATCATAAAAAAGCATCCTTCAGCTTGGGGGCAGGGGATTGGTGGCTGTCTCAGGGAGCACCAAGGCTACGCTGGGGCTGGATGGGGTGCAGTTAGAGTATTGCGGGGTGGCGCATATGCAGCATGGGTTCTGGGGTATGTGAGATGTTGGAGGCCTCATAGGCAGGAGGCGTATGTGCTGTCCAGGGTAGAAAAGATGCAGGCTGGGGCTGCAGACCATGGCCCAAAGCTCTGGTGAGCTCTGAGGTCTCTTACTCTGTCAGCACTGTGGGGTTGGGGGCAGGAGGCTGCCCATTTGGGCCTCTTGGCTTGCAGCTGCAAGTGGGCCTTGCTTGAGGCTCTCAGTTATGGTTGGGAGTTAGGGGACTGTCTCTTCTCAGTGCACATCCTGTAGCTGACCCAGCCAGATTGGGGGCGGAGAGAGGGCAGTTGCCTGGCCCCAGGCCCAGGAGAGCAAAGGTCTTCGCAGGGCGCCAGGCTGGGTGGGAGCTGGGGGAGTGTAGAGCAAGCAGGGGGAGTGTAGAGCAAGCAGGGGGAGTAGGGGTCAGGCCAGGACAGGAGCTGGGGCCTTCTCCTCCTGCCGCCTTTCTGGAGGGCCCTGTGGGAGCTCCCCCAGTGGCCAGTGCTTTGAGCTGAGGCCTGGGCCCTGGGCTGCCACCTCCCCTCCTTTCTTTCTTCTGTATGGGGGAACTCACCTCCTACCAAGGTCCTCCCTGGACAGCCTGAGCACTGGTTGCACAAGGTCCTGTCACAGGGCAGGGGCCTAGGTCTGGCTCACTCAGAAGCTAGGACAAGACCCGTGCTCAGTGCCCAGCTCAGAACAGCAGCCTCCACCCCAACTTTTATCCTCCCATAGGTGCCTCACCCTAACCTTGGAGGAATTTCCCCTAGGCCTCATTTAGCTCCCTTGTACCCTGAGTTCATCTCTGGTGACAGACTGGAGAATAGTTGTGGCTACTGCAGCCTAACTGTGGCCTGGAGCTCTCTGCCCTTCACTGCATCCCCACACAGGTGACTACACAGAACTCTCTGCCCCAGCCCCTTTGTAGCCTGTTGTAGGCAGAGCCTTGTCCCTTGCCAAGTCTAAACTGGGCAGTCCCACCCCTCCCCAGCTCCACAGCCCCCTCTGCTGCCCATACACCCCACAGAGCTGGCCTTCTGCAGGGCAGAGTGATGAGAGCCTCGACCTGGGATCGACCTGACCCAGCCTCCTGTTCAGGTCTCTGGGTCTTATCCAGGCCATCCTGGGTGAATGCCCAGCCCTGGCCTCAGGCCCTAAAGGAAGAGGACAGCTCTCTATTCTGGCATGGGCTGTGCAGGTCTGCCTGACCTGGGCCTTTACTCCAGAGAACCCCCACTGGCTCCTTGCTGGCCTTCCCTGGAGAAGCTTCTCTCCACTCCACTCCTCAGCCTTTCCTCCCCTCGCCATCTCTGCCTCTTCCTCTTCTGTCCCCACTGGGGGACAGAGTGACCCTAACTGGATGGCGATTCCCCTGTTTACCCTGCTCATAGATCCCTAGTGCTCAAAACAAAGCCAGGGCCCTCCAGGCCCAGCCTCTGCCCCCCGCCTGCTGTAGCCCTGTGCTGCCGGCTGCTGCGCTTTTCTCTCCCTCTGCCAGTCCTGACCATGCCAGTTCCTCCAATGCATCCGTCACTCAGTGAGTGCCTCCAGGCCTTTGCACATGCCGTTCCCTCTTCCCAGAACACGCTTTCTTCTCCCAGCCCTTTAATTTCCCAGGCTCTCACACTCTTCACCCCTGGGCTGAGCTGCATGTCTCACCTTCTGTGCCCAGTTCCCGTGTCCTGTTAGAACACTGTTCATGCTGTGGGGTAGTTAACTTGTGTCCCAATCCCTCACAGGGCATGAATCCCCTACCCCGCCAAAGGCGGGGGCTGTGTCTGTCCTAGGCCTCTGGCAGTGGGGTTGGTCAGGAACTTGAGAGGAACATGGGGAGGGAGAGGAGACATTGGTGCTTATCTGCATCACCCATGAGTCAGCACACATTGTTAAGGGATGATGACCTGTGCAGGGGGGCAAGGGCATGGTACTATGCCAGGACTTCCCAGCCCCCACCCTGATGGGCTCCTTGCTATTGCCTGCCTCCTATAGTTACAGTTACATGATCGACAACGTGATCCTGCTCATCACGGGCACGCTGCACCAGCGCTCCATTGCTGAGCTTGTACCCAAGTGCCACCCACTAGGCAGCTTCGAGCAGATGGAGGCCGTGAACATTGCTCAGACACCTGCTGAGCTCTACAATGCCATTCTGGTGGACACGCCTCTCGGTGAGCCGCTGTGTTGGTCATGGGAGGTGGGCAGTGGTGTCAGCATCAGCACATCAGGGTGGGATTTGTGGACCCGCTGGGGGATGACCCTGAGCCAGAAAGTGAGACCTGCACACTGCTGCTTACCTTTGTTGCCCTTCAACTTCCTCCTCCCATTCTCTCCTCACTTCACCCCCTTCTGCTCCTGTCCTGTTGGTTTTGCTGGGCCAGGCAGGCTCCCCCAGGGTCTGACTGGGACTGTCTCACTTTGTGAAGCAGTCTGATTTCCCAGAGTGCAGAGGAGGGCTGAGCTCATGGAGAAGTGAGAGAGAGGCCCAGGTCCCTTGGAGTCCTGGGAGCTCCTATAGACTATGGAGCTTCTGCGAGCTGGAACCTGAGCAGAGCCAGTGTGGCTGGTTGGCTGTGAGGCAGAGGAGCGAAGCAAACATTGTCACTTCCCTCCACTGAGCAGGTCCCCTGGGTCAGGTCAGACAGTGTCCAGCAGGATGCAAGGTCCGTGTCAGAAGCCAGGGAAGGGGAATTAAGAGCTTCCTGCAGAGCCCTGCTTAGGCAGTGCTAGTTCCTGCCTGCTTAGGAGGCTGAGGAGAAGGCACTAAGTGTCCTCGTAGCCAGAGTCCTGGGCCTGGGGTACCACCTCCAAGAAGCCACCAGGGTTGAACCACAGGCCTCTAAGCTGCACTAGGTTCTGAGCTGAGAGGCCTGAGCCCTACCTGCTGACCTTGTCTGCCATAGGCTCTCCCAGCAACTCTGAGCTGGTTCTGGGCTGTTTGTGGCTTCTTCAGTTTCTCCGTCTTTAAAGAAGAGATAGACGAGTGAGTCTGTAGGCCCTCTTGGGGGATGAGGGTGCTGTATCCTGCTCTGGCCTCTCTTTCCAACCCCACAGTGGCCTCCTGGGTCACTGGTCTGTGCCTACCCTGCTGTTGGACTTGTCCTAAGGAGGAGGCTGGTTTTCCAAATGTGGGCGCCAGGCCTTCCTGGGGGGTGTAAAGAAGTAGGCGTTAGGCCCCGAATCCACAGCTGCCTCTCCAGAAGGGAGGATGTCATGGCCTCTTATGCAAGCCTGTCTTTGGCATGGTCTGAGCTTGGGTCTGCCCCAGCGGTGATTAGATCATGTTATGGCTAGCTGCCTCCTTTATAAATCAATTTTAGGAGCAAGGAGGCAGGAGAAGCTCAGGTCAGTGTACATGGCCCAGAGCATTGCTTCTGCCACTTCCAAGGCAACAGCCCAGGCTGGGGACCCCTCAGTACCCAGCCCTGTGGGCCTGGTGGCACAGGTACTCTGTGCCATGTGGGGCAGTTGAACATCAAGATTCTGGCCTAGACCACCTGCCCACCCCTCAAACCACGTTTCCTCCCCAGCGGCTTTTTTCCAGGACTGCATTTCAGAGCAGGACCTTGACGAGATGAACATTGAGATCATCCGCAACACCCTCTACAAGGTAATGCCCCGCACAAGCCATGGGCGATTGGCCTGTCGGTGGGTGGGACTGTGGGAAGTGGTAGGGCGGTGATTTATGTGAGGTGCTGGGACAGGATGCAGCTATGCCAGGCTCCTATCCCAGGGGCTTATCTGGCTCCCATGCTGGGCACAAGGCTGTGTGGAACAGGTTCTCTATCCCATAGTGCCTGTGGCGGGCTCAGATAAAATCAGCAGGAGTGACTGGTGCTCCACCGCTGGCCTGTTACAGCTGGCTCCTGGATAGCTGCTCCCCTAGCATCCAGGAGGGTTATGGGCTACCACCCAGGCCGTAAACCCTGGAACCACCCTACCTAAGCTATTGCCAGCAAGGACAGGCACTTGAGCAAAGGCAACAGTGTGCTCAGTTATGGTGGGGGGAGGGACCTGGCGAGGCATAGCCAGGTCCTCATGTCCCTCATAGGTTCCCAAGCTTGGAGTCAGTGCCGTTTCCCACTGTCCTCATCCCCTGCCCACCTCTTGCCTCCCACCAGGCTGTAGCATAGACTGGGCAACCCCAAGGGATAGAAGGTGGGCTCAGGATTTCTGGGTCAGCACTACCCTGGCCCAAAGAGATTAAAGAGCCAGGGGACCGGAGAGGAGAGGAAGGTTTAAAATTAAAAAAAAATGAAAGCCCGAGACCAGTTAGGTTAGGGGTGTTTGGGATAGACTATGCTCTGGCTGCAGTGAGGCAGTGAGCTATACATAGCGCCAGGACCCCAGACGGGCTATAGTCAGGAACATGGATCTGTGGTGAGCAGGCCCCAAAGCGGGGCTGAGGATGACCCCGGCCAAGGGACCTGCTGACCTCACCTGTCTATTGGGTGAAAGTCCTCTCCTGACCTGGTTGGAGCGAGCTGGCTGACATTCGGCTGCAGCCTGAGCCCAGGCCCGCCAGTCTCCCTGCAGGGGCCTGGGTCAGAGCACATTGTAGGTCTGGTGATAGGGGAAGGGCCTGCCTGGAGGTTGCAGTGGTGTCGGCAAGGGACCAACACGTGCAGAAGGAAAGCATGGAGCATGCGCCAAGTGGCAGGCAGTTTGCTGTGGAAGGACACATTCCAGATGGACAGGGGAGAAGTCTAGAAGAAGAGGCAGGCATGGGATCAAGTTACCCAGGGCTTTGAATGTAAGGCCAGAAGTTTGAACATAGTCCCGTGGGCAGGGTCAGCCAGTGGAGGTTTCCAACAGAGCAGAGTCTTCTCAGAAAGCCCCTTCTAGCCACAACGTGGAGAGCAGATTAGAAGGCCTGAGACCAGAGGTGGGAAGGTCGTCAGCTTCTTTAATCCTTTGGACTGCACTAGGAACTGGGAAGGTGTCATTATCCCCATGTGAAAATGGGGAAACTGAAGGCTCAGAGAAGTAGGGTGGGTTTTCTAAAGCCACATAATAAGTCACTGGCAGTGCCAGGGATCACACCTGGCTCAGCTTGTTTGCAAAAGTGAGTGCTCTCACCCACTCCACTAATAGGGCACAGGCCAGCCAGTTAGCTGAGAGGAGAGAGAACATACGTGTCTGTGTGTGTGTGTGTGTGTGTGTGTGTGTGTATACGCACGCGCCTAGCTGGCCTGTTGCCGGGTTCCCTGCCCTGAGACAGGGTGAGGGGTGCGGCTGTCCGCCAGCCTCACCCATGCCCTCACCGGGCCTGACTGGTTCTAGCTGGAGTTGCTGGCAAGGGCTACCCAGGCACCAGCTCGTAAACATGGACCCAATGCTGTGGGCCTTGTGCCAGGACTGCCAGCCTGTCAGGCAATGTCCCAGCCCGATGACCACAGATGGGAGATTAGGTGGACCCTCAGCCACCCGGCGGGTGGGAACAGTAGGCAGCTGGTGCAGCAGCCATGGACTGGCAGACTCCAGGGGACAGGGTGGGGGTGGGAAGGTGACCTTGGTACTGGGGTTGCTGGGATCTTGCCAGTTTCTTTAGCTTCCCTAGCCTCCAGAGAAGAGTCCCACCAGCCTCCCTGACCCTGGGATCAGCCTCTCCTGGGATTGGTACAGATTGGCTAAGCAATTGGGTAGGTAGCAGGGCATGGAGCCCAAGACCTGGTTAGTTGTTCCCCCACAAATAGGAAGTGCAGGCCCCACTGGGGCAGGCTGTGGGATTTTTGACATATCCAGCTTGGCTGGCCACAGGGAAGGAGGTGACTGTGGGGACAGGCCCTTAGAGGGACTGTGAAAGGTGCCACCAAACCATGGGATGGTGGGGGGAGGGACCTGGCGGCTATCTCTGCCACCCAGGCCCTCTGATCCCTGAGATCCTCTGTGCTGGGGTCAACCCTCTCTTCCAGGCTTCTTACTCCCTGACCTGTCCTAGATTTTTGTTTCCCGTGATCCCAGAGGTCACTCTCAGGCCTTCCCCTGAGTCAAGCTTGCCCAGCGTTGCTCGCCAGGGCAGACCTGGGCTCACAGACTCCTGGGTCTCATCTCATCTCTCTTGGAGCACCACCCAGCAAAGCCTGTGAGCCCAAGCTGGCTGATAGTTGGTGGAAAGGTCTCCACACCTTGGAGTTTAGACCTCAGTATGAAAAGCTTTCCATGCCATCCAGCCCTTGCCTGCAACCTGGAAGAATAATCTCTAGCCTGTGGAGCCAGAGTCTCTGAGCCCATGCCAGCAGATGGGACTAGGGAGGTCTAAGTGGAGGCTGGCCATTACAAGGGAGCTCCCCATGGGGCCCGTAAGATCATCCACCTTCCTTGGCATGGAGAGGTGTTGGGAGGAAGCATGGCTGCTCTTGTGAGTGAGCGTTGGGAGGGACCTGGGGCCTGGGCTGACCTCTTCTTTCCTCATGCCCAGCAGATCCAATTTGCCTGGGCAGGGAGTGCTTGTTCCCGCCGGCAGCCCATGTGCCTGCCATTGTACTGTGCCCAGCTGACGTCCGTGTAGGCAATAACCATCCCTCAGCAGGAACTGGCCTGACAATTTTGTTCTTGCTGTGTGATGCTGAGGGACTGCCTGGAGGATGGGAGGAGGAGGTGTTCTGTAAGGGAGGGTGGCAGAGAGGGCCGGGTCACTCAGTCCCTGCCATCCCTGTGTACTCTCAGGTGTGGCCTTTCCTCACCAGCCCACAGACACCTGTTTTGTTTTGTTTTGTTTTGTTTTGTTTTGTTTTTTCTTTTCTGAGACGGAGTCTCTTTCTGTCGCCCAGGCTGGAGTGCAGTGGCATGATCTCAGCTCACTGCAATCTCTGCCTCTCGGGTTCAAGCAATTCTCTGCCTCAGTCTCCCGAGTAGCTGGGATTACAGGCGCCCGCCACCATGCCTGGCTAATTTTTTTAATATTTTTAGTAGAGACAGGGTTTCACCATCTTGACCAGGCTGGTCTTGAACTCTTGATCTTGTGATCCACCCACCTTGGCCTCCCAAAGTGCTGGGATTACAGGCGTGAGCCACCACATCCAGCCACACCTGGTTTTCAGAAGCTGAGGAAGGGGAGGTTTGGAAAGATTTGGGGAAAAGGAAGGCAGAGCAGCAGGGAGAAGTCAGAGGACCCCTGCGAGCCCAGCCTTCTGTGAGATGAGGGGGTGAAGGGGACTGTAGGCTGAAGCAGACAGTCCAGTGGGCCCTGCCCTGGCACTCCTGCATGGGAGGCTATGGGCAGCTGCCACTTGGCTGATTCACAGAAGTGTTTGGCTTTGCTGTAAGGGCTGCCCTGGCCCATCCATGGGTGTGCTTGTACCCACCTTGAAAGGGGCTAGGGAGGGGAGGAGGGAGCTATGAGGGCTTGGCCCTCCAGAGCCTCCTTACCTGTGCTGAGCAAGCTGCATGCTCTGCACAGGCATACCTGGAGTCCTTCTACAAGTTCTGCACCCTACTGGGCGGGACTACGGCCGATGCCATGTGCCCCATCCTAGAGGTGAGTGCCTGCCTGCCCTCCTGCCTGCTGGTGCCCGCTAGCCCTGGCCTGGGGAGGCTCTGCCAACTGACTGGCTACTGCCTTCTTCTTCCTCCCTCTCTCCTTACCTGTGCACTGGCTCCACAGTTTGAAGCAGACCGCCGCGCCTTCATCATCACCATCAATTCTTTCGGCACAGAGCTGTCCAAAGAGGACCGTGCCAAGCTCTTTCCACACTGTGGGCGGCTCTACCCTGAGGGCCTGGCGCAGCTGGCTCGGGCTGATGACTATGAGCAGGTCAAGAACGTGGCCGATTACTACCCGGTGAGTGCCCCAGCTGGCAGGACAGCGGGTGGGCGTGTTGTCACCAAGCACACCCACCCAGAACCCTCATGCTCATGCTTTCCCCCACCCCCCTGGCCAGGAGTACAAGCTGCTCTTCGAGGGTGCAGGTAGCAACCCTGGAGACAAGACGCTGGAGGACCGATTCTTTGAGCATGAGGTGAGTCTGTGGGGTCTGCTTGTCAGAGGGAGGCCAACCTGGTGGTTTAGACCTGACTCTGTGGCCATGGCCACCTGGATACCACATCTTCCTGTGTGCACAGGTAAAGCTGAACAAGTTGGCCTTCCTGAACCAGTTCCACTTTGGTGTCTTCTATGCCTTTGTGAAGCTCAAGGAGCAGGAGTGTCGCAACATCGTGTGGATCGCTGAATGTATCGCCCAGCGCCACCGCGCCAAAATCGACAACTACATCCCTATCTTCTAGCGTCCTGGCCCGAGGCTCTCAATTGCACTCTTTGTGTGTGTGTGTGTGTGCGTGTGTGTGTGTGTGGTCTGTGACAAGCCTGTGGCTCACCTGCCTGCCCGGGGTGTAGTACACTGTCCTAGCGGCTGCCCAGTTCTCCTGACCCTCTTAGAGACTGTTCTTAGGCCTGAAAAGGGGCTGGGCACCCCCCACCAAGGATGGACCAAGACCCCCTCCAGAGCAAGGAGGCCCCCTCAGCCCTGTGTTTACAGCCGCTGATGTGTCTAAGAAGCATGTGGTCACTTTCATGTTCCTCCCTAACTCCCTAACCTGAGAACCCTGGGGGCTGGGGGCAGTTCGAGCCTCCTCTCCCTTCTGTGAGTCACTCCCAGAGCCGTGGCCCATGGGAAGGATAGAGTGTGTGTGTCCTTGGGGCCTGGGGGGATGTTGCTTGTCAGCTCCCTCCCTCAGCCCTGCCCCTCTGAGACAATAAAACTGCCCTCTCTAAGCCCAACTGTCTGCTGTCTCCTTTAGACCCTAGTACCTCTCCATGACCCCTAACTTCCCTTGTGACCCCACCTTGCTAAGCAACCCTGCCTAAGCCTCCACTTCCCTCCCTCAGTCAGCAGCCCAGATTCTTCAGGGTTGGGGAGTTCCAGGAAGATAGCTCCTTCTTCTGCTGGAGGCTCAGATGCATACAGGCCTGGGAAGCTAGGTGTTGGCCCTGGAGGCCCCCCTGGCCTTTCCAGTTGCTTCAAGCAATTGGGATCAGGGTCATTACCCCTATTTCACTATGAGGAAACCCATGGTCTTAAATGATTTGCCCCAGGTCAGTGGAGGAGGGGGAGGTGTGAATCACAGAGTCTACCAGGGGAGTCCCCAGCCTCCATGCTGAGCCCCAGGAGTTGCCACCCTGTCACACGGCCACATCATGTCACTCAGCCAGCCAGCCAGTCACCCCCTCCAAACAGCACCTGCTGCATTTTAGAAGAAATAAAAATTTGTCTTTATTTAACATGTGGCAATTGGGAAGTACAGTACAACCTTCCCTGTGGCTTGGGGGCGTGTAGTTGGGGCCCTAATTCTTGAGCCAGTCAAGAGACACTTGGGATTTAACGCTCAATTGCAGCACTGAGGCACTGGTGCTGAGAAACAATCCTGAGGGGGACCCCAACCCACCCAGTCACTCCTTAGTTTGCAGAGGCACCATCTGCAGAGTCCTGTGAAAGACTGCAGTGAGGTCTTTCACGAGACTCCCCATCCAGCAGAGTTCTCCAAGCTGCAGGATAGAGTGTTGTGCCAGGAGGGTCTGTTTGGGCTCATGAAGCAGTGGAGAGGCGCAGAGGCACACTGGGAAACCTTGGCCTCACCGGGCCTGGATTGGGCATCGGCAGTGGGCATGAAGTGGGGGCAGGATCCTTTAGGCTAGGGTCCAGGACAGACTTGGGGGATGGTAATGCTGGGGGTTTTCGGGGAGGAACCAAGGGCTCACAGAGCCTTCTGTGCTGCAGTGGCTGGGCCATAGGTGCACAGGGCTCACCGAGCCACTGCTGGGGAAGGGCCGAGGCTCAGGTTTGGGTCCTGGGCTGCGTCCCGTGGTGGGGTAGCGCCAGGCTGGCCAGGCTGCAGTGCTCGAGGCAGACAGTGACTGATGAAGAAGGCCTGCAGGAAGCGGCGCCGCAGGCCCTCAGGCAGGTAGTAGTGGATGAAGTACATGAGCCCCAGGCCCTGGCCGGGGTAATAGCGGCGGCGGGGCCGAGCTGCCAGCAGCGCATCTGTGATGGCATCTACAACTGGGCTGAGGTCGGACATGGCCAGGCGTAGCGAGCGCAGGAACTGCCCATGCAAGTGTTCAATGTAGTCCTTGCCATAGGCCTGCAGCAGCTCTTGAGGCAGGTTGGCCAGCAGCAGTTGCTTGCGCTTTTCCCACTGACCCACGTTTCTCACTGACTCTGGGGAAGGAGTGGCAAGGTCAGAGCGGGGTCAGCTAGGGGAGCCAAAGTCAATTAGGACTATTTAACCTGCGCCAGGTCTCCAGCCAAAACCACACCCCCAACCAAAACCACGACCGTTCATCAAAGTTGACCTGCCCCCATAAGACCATTCCCAGCCCCACTCCCCACCCCCACCCCACCCCCAGCCCTGATTCCCACCTGTCTTGAAGCAGCCAGGCTGGATGATGCTGACCTTGACCCCCCAGGGAAGGAGTTCACAGCTGAATGTGTCCATAAGTAGCGCCACAGCCGCCTTGGAGGTTCCATAGGCCCCCAAGCATGGATATGGCATGTCCCCTGTGGATGGATTGGGAGTGGGGCAGCTCAGCTTTGGCAAGGGGCTCCCTAAGCCCTCCCTCACCCCAGGGGGCTCCTTTTTGCTCCAGTGGGGCAGGCACTCACCCGCTGGGCTGCCCACAGTCACGATGCGGCCCCTTGAGCTGCGCAGCAGGGGCAGGAGGCCCTTGGTCAGCTCGAGTGCGCCAAAGAAATTCACCTCCATGCAGCTACGGAAAGTGGCCACTGGAGACAGCTCCGCATCAGCAACTACTTCATTGTGGCCTGCGTTGTTGACCAGGCCCCACAGGCCTGAGGTCACAGAGCAGAGGAGGAAGCCTCAGGTCAGCCCAGCAGCAAACTTCCAGTCCCCGTGTCCTTCCCACTGCCCTGCCATGCCCTTGCCTGGTGGACACTTGCCACTGACCAGTGCTGGTGGTGTGGGCCTTGGTGAACTCTAGCACGCGGCTAATGTCTCCTGGTTTGGTCAGGTCCAGCTGCAGCAGCCTTAGGCGAGGGGAGCAGCAGGTACGCAGCTCGATGGCACCGGGGCTGTTCAACTCCAATACGGTGGCCAGCACCGTGAAGCCCATGGAGTCCAGTTTCTTGGCCGTCTCCTTGCCAAAACCAGAGTCACAGCCTGGCCAGGGCAGGGCAGTCAGTGAACTTCCACTGTGGCCCAGCCTAGCCTGAGACAACCCCACAATCACCAGGGTCTGGATGGGATCCAGGCCCCTGCAAACCCAAGCCACCAGCAATCAACGACCCTAACTCCTTCCCTGGGCCCATCCCTGACAGGCTTTGCCCCTCTAGCTGAGCCCTGGGCCCTAACTCTGTGACAGCTGTCATCTGTCTGACTCCCCATGGCTGCCCTACCAATGTGGCTTACAGAAGAGGAAACTAAGGCCTAGTAATGCTAAGTTGCTTCCCAAATCCACATAGGTCAGGTCTGGGACAGTCCCAGGCCCCAGTGTAGTTCTGCTTTCTTGATTTCAGGTCACAGCTCACAGGCACAGGCATAGTATTAGTACGGAGCCTCCCTTTCTTTTTCTTTTCTTTTTTTTTTTTTTTTTTGAGACAGGGTCTCGCTCTGTTGCCCAGGCTGGAGTGCAGTGGCATGATCTTGGCTCACTGCAACCTCCCCTCCTGGGCCCAAGCATTCCTTCCTCCTCAGCCTCCTGAGTAGCAGGGACTACAGGCCTGTGTCACCACGCCTGGCTGGTTTTTTCTTTTCTTTTTTTTTTTTTTGAGACAGAGTCTCGCTCTGTTGCCCAGGTTGGAGTGCAGTGGCATGATCTCAGCTCACTGAAACCTCCGCCTCCTGAGTTCAAGCGATTCTCCTGCCTCAGCCTCCTGAGTAGCTGGGATTACAGGTGTGCGTCACCATGGGCCTGGCTAATTTTTGTACTTCTAGGAGAGCTGGGGTTTCACCATGTTGGTCAGGCTGGTCTCTAACTCTTGACCTCATGATCTGCCTGCCTCGGCCTCCCAAAGTGCTGGGATTACAGGTGTGAGCCACTGCGCCCAGCCTGCCTGGCTGGTTTTTAATTTTTTTTTGCAGAGACGGGAGTCTCACTATGTTGCCCAAGCTGGTTTTGAACTCCTGGGCTCAAGTGATCCTCCCACCTTGGCCTCTCAAAGTGCTGGGATTGAAGATGTGAGCCACCATATCCGGCTTCTCTTCCTTTCTGACTGCCTAGGCCTCTCCTCCCTTAATCTGGACTCTGAAGCAGCCTCTTCTCTACTCCTGTCCCTTCCTGCCCTCTTGAAGCCCTTCTCTACCTAAGCAGCTGAAGGGATCTTTCCAAAAATGACAATATCCCTCTGTGCTGCAAACCTTTCCAAGGCTGCCACAGTCCTCAGAATGAAGCCCAAGCTCCCTGGCTCAGGCCCTGTATAACATGAGCCCCACCTCCCTTCCCAGCCTCAACACGCTCGACTATTTTTTCAGGCTGGAGGCAGGCTGGAGGCAAGCTGGAGGCCCATCCCCACTTCACCCAGACCCTTGGAATTCCAATCAGTGGCAACACGGGTGTTTTCTGAGCCCCAGACTACTTGCCTCCAGGACAGGGACCATGCTAGATGAAGAAGAGAACAGACCTACATTTGAATCCCTTCCCACACCCACCAAATGTGACCAAGGTTAGTTACCACTCTTGGAGGCTTAATTTCTGTCTTTGGTATGCAGAGAGAAGAACCACCAGGCAGAGCCAGTGTAGGGGTCCATAGTACTGATAAGCCCCTGCCTCCTTGATTGTTCCCATGCTGATCCTGGCTCCATGGGCAGCCAGTGAGGGAAGGGGAAAGGCCAGTGAGTGGGGAGGCTTTCTGTTCTGCTCCTGCCCCCACCCCTGGCCCTCAACCCTGCCCCCCAACCCCCATTTTCTGGAATAGAAGCTGCAAAGCAGCTCTGCTTCCCTACTCCTGGACTGCTCAGTACGGTCTCCCCATCTCAGCTCCACTCCCTCTACTGAAAACAGCACTGGGCAGGGGGCTTCGAGCTCCTGCTGAGGAGAGGTACTCCCCCAGGCAAGTCTGCCTTGGAGAGGGAGGCAAGCATGTGTGTGTGCGTGTGTGTGTGTGTGTGTAGACACACACATGCGTACGTGCACTTGCCCGGGTCCCTCTCAGAGCAGGCAGGTCCTCCCAAGGGAAACAGACCTCCCAATTCTGACTTGAGCTGACCATAGGCCTCAGGTCTGTGGTCCCAAGTCACCCACATCTTGCACACCCTCTTGCTCATGTGCACACCCTCAGATACCTGTACATCCAACCTGGCTGGATGTTTTCACAATGGGCTCAATCCCTACCACCCATTGGTGCACATGCGTGCACACAGGCACCTGACCCTCAGCCCAAACCCTGATTCCACAGCTGAGCTCCAGGAGTAGCCTCGGCAAGTGGTTCTCTGGGCATTCTTAGGAGGGGGAGGGGGACTGGCAGCTCTACCAGGCCCAAGACACAGTGTTCTTGGCAGGTGGGGCCGAACCTGGTTACCTACTTGTCTTCCAGCTGGGTGTTGAGAGACAACCCCCAAGTGTGAGGGCCCTGGGAAACTTGGAGGCTTCCTGATGCTTGTACAGGGCAGGTCGGGTAGTCCTCTCTCCCCCAACCCCAGCTTCGCCACCAGAGATCTGGTGAGCCCAAGTTAGAGAAAGCATCCCTCCTCTTACCTCTCTCTCAGGCTCAAAGTCAGAAGAAACAGCAGCAGCACAAAGGCCTGAGGTGACACCTCAGGAAAGAC